TAAATAATTATGTAGAATAATAAACAAAACAGCAGGTTCAATGAAATTCGAATTCATGTATTCTGAATGAGATCTCAAACTGTAAATCAGGAAGGAAGGAAGAGATGAAACGCACCGCATCGGCGGAGGAGTTATCGGCATCCATTTCGGGGCGGAGCTTGGCGTAGAGTTGGGGGCTGCGGTAGACGGAGCCGGGGGCGAGTCGACGTGAGATGACGGGAACGACCTCGAAGGAGACGGAGCCCATGTAGAGGAGCATGCCGGAGATGTAGAGGAGAGGAGCGAATAGGAAGAAGCCCTGGCGGCGGATTAGAACGGAGAGGAGGTTCCAGACGATGCGCTGGATTAGGGTCCGACCCGGCTGGTTGAACCGACCACCCGCTTTGGAGCGGCCGTGTCGGAACCGGGGCGAGCGGAGCGGCGAAGTCGGCGGCGATGGGCTGTTGCGTCCGCTACTCGGTAGCCGGTTGTATGGGTGCATTGGGATTTCTGCGCTGCTCTCTCTCTCTCTCTCTCTGCTACGTCATGTGGCCATCTCTCTCTCCGGTTGTGTTTCTCGTGAATTGGGTTTTCTCAGAAAATGTTGAGAAAAAGTGCACGGAAAAAAAAATTAGAGAGAGAAAGAAGAGAGAGAGAGAGAGAGGGGTTTGTGTTGTCTTGATTTGAACAAAGAAAGAGTTCCGCGTGCACGTGCTTCTCCTCTCAGGATTGTTAATTTTTCTGATTTGAGTGAGCCTTGGTTGTTAACGAGAACTTTGATGGACGTTGTATAACGTAATCGTGACATTGTGCTAATTTTTATTTTCTTTTTTAAAAAAAAAAAGGATCAGATGGCTTTTCCACAGCAGATTACCTTTTAGGAGGCAGAAAGACGTACATAGGCATTTTAGTCTTCCTTTAATCATCATCGTGCGATTCACTAGCATCATAAATTAAACTCAAAACATAACTTGTGAAATACCTATAATTCGTCTTCTACCACTGAACAACCATATAGTAAATAATAATATTGTTTTATTGAATCAGTACTCTACAATAAACGGTACACATGATCTGTCAAAGTTGCTGTTTGGTTGTTGGAAGCGTTTAAGTTGCAAGGAGCCTTGAATTTTGGAATATTTTCTTATTTTATTTGGATATTACCATTCTCAGTGACAACTAACAACGACGGGCACGCTTCCTTTTGTTTTAAAACAAATTGGCTGTATTTGCATCACTTTTCGCCCATGATTCATTCATGTTTGGCAACCATGTGAACACTGCATTTAAAATTTTATTTATTAGTGTGAAGATCAGCGGTGGTTTTTAATTTAAATCTCGACATTTAGTTAGTTCAAAACATGTTCATCATACGGCCGAGCGAAGCGCACCCGTGTGAAGCAGCCTAGCATCGCGTTAGGTAGGAGTAGGAGCAGAATGACGGACGATTCCCTCGTCTCTCCCTTTTTGGGGAATGGCTGCAATCACAAGCAAGTGATTGAATGGGTGGGGGGGCTCCAAAAGCAAGTCTGGATAAGTAGGTGTTTTAGGAGACGGTCTAAATATGGGTCTGATCTAGAAAGAAAATAGAAATCTTAACAAGCCGAATCGAAAAGAGTGACTCTGTGGTTGCATAATTGTCTTAGTTCTTTATTTTATTTATAATTTTTTTATTAAAATTGTAAATTTAGCTCGACAAGAATTTAGATTATTTTCCTTCGTAATTAGTTTGTATTGATAAGAATGAATGTCGTAAACCAAGTATCTAAGTTATCTCGATGTATATCATACACTAAAACATGATAAAACTTCGCTTGCACAAGAGCCAACTCATAAAATTGGGGAATACAAAATCAACATGGACCCCACTAAATCATCTTCATCGCCAGCTTTCGATTTCCAACACGGAAGTTACGGTCCGGAATGTATGTACGTTGTTCAACCACAACACATGGCAACTGGAAAGTGACCTCTACCCACGCTTGCACGTCAATGTTACAATCTAATAAGAGTGCATAACAATTTTTAGTTAATTTTAATACGTGACCAGGGGAAATCAAGTTTGGTGCAAATAGCGGGCGCATTACAAACTGACATAGCCTATAAGCACGACATTAGAAGTGTTTTAGTATATTCGCTACTATTTGGTACAAGGTCACATTAAACTCGCCCTAAAGATTAGTATTTTAGCTTCAGAAACGAAACAATAATAGGCTCATTTAGAAGTACGTTTAAATGACTTAAAACACTTTTAGAGAAAATGTCTTTGAATTTCAAAACCAATTCAAATGCTTCCTGCAAAAAGCATCATTTAATGCTTAGAAGCACTTCAAATGCTCTTCCAAGATTGACTATATTTTTACTAAGAATTGGCTTCACAAATATTTTCTTTAAAAGCGCATTCAATCATTTAAAAGCACTTTCCAAAAAAACTCATCAAATCTATCACTAAGACTAGAAGCTTAAAATGCGCACTAATGTCCCACTTATTACACAAAGAAAGTGGGTTCGACGTTTCAATCAACACTAATCATAGAGAAATTCCACAAGACAAATCATCTTCATCGGCGTAAAGTCTGCTACTAAAAATTTGAAAGCTACTGCTCTCACTTGCGACTGTCGACAAACAGGCGGTGGACACGGTGGATTCGGCACCACTGCCTAAGCTGGACCATAGTGGGAAGATTTGGCCGCATGGTTATTGCCAAAATAAACCCACAAATTGCGAGCTAAGACATGATGTTTGCATCAAAAAATCTGTTTCATGATACCTCATTGGAAAATACTGTTCTACATTCCAACTCACACAACACACAACCACATGATTTGATGATTTCGACTGTGACTGGAAACACCACAAGTGACCACAAACGCAAACACGTTTAAAATGAAACTCAAGAACCCATTAACTTCAAACTCGGATTCTTTCAGTCATTCGTTTCACATGCAACGAAGATTGACATAACTAAATTATACCGTTTCTAGTTAACAAAACCATACATAGCATATACACATCCATTGTTTAGTGTCTGGAATGGATTGATAACACACTGTATTCAACATATGTTTTGAAACGAAAATTCAGTCACTTCTACCCTAAGAATTGTCCAATAGAACCCAATCCTATGCACCAATCAAATCCATAATGTAAACCATATGAAATGCATTATAAACTGGAAATGCTTCCTTAATGAACAGATGCTGACACATTTGACTAAGAAACTGAACGAATTCGAGCAAAGAAAGCAAGGAAAAGGCTAACTACTATGAAATCCATATCCAATCGCTACTTTTGCATATGTTTGGCAACACTCAACCAACTTTTGCAACAAAGACAACGTGAAACGATCCATGTTTGGAAGCAATGGCAAGTTCACTAATATCCAACAAAGATGATACAAATTGTCTCTACCATTTCAAAACGAAATTTAGTTCATAATTTCAAGTGCCGGAAATCGAATCCAAACAGAAGATGGAAAAATAAATAGATAAAGATGCTTCCAAATTAGTTAATTAAAAAGAAAACTAACATCCCATTAGAACTTCCCAATCCACTGTTTCATCAGCCACATCTGACCGTCAAGTTTTTCTGATGACTCAATCGTGGAGAGTGCCCAAGATGTCTTCGTCCCTGTATAAATGGAACCTGCAAAACAACCAACCAACCAAAACCCAAACAAAATATCATAAATCTCAGAAACCCTAATGCACTAAATTACACAAACAGGGCAGAAACTAGCACAAAAGACGTACTCTTTGTCACCAAGCTTCACTTGGGTGCCGCCATACTCGGGCAAAAGAACTGTATCGCCTTCCTTCACGGCCACCGGAATCAGATTCCCGGCCTTGTCCTTGGCTCCTGGTCCCACAGCTACCACCTTCCCTGAGTTTAGCTGCGCCGATTGGACCAATCAAAACCGTTAAAATTCAAATCAAGATAAAACCCTAAACCCTAAATACATTTACACCAAGCAAGAAGATGATATCATGAAATTTACCTTGGTGGAGGACTCGGGGAGGAGAATGCCGGCGGTGGTTTTGGAGGGCGGGATGATTTTCTCGATCAGGACGCGGTTGAGAGTTGGAATCAAACGCCTCGCCATTTGGGTGTCTGTTTCTGAAAACAGCGGAGCTACTGGCTTAGGGTTTTGGGGGAAGATGACGATTGCTGATGGTTTAAAGTGAGGGTTTGGAGAGGAGGTGACTGCTTGTTGATCAAGTTCGAGGGGATAGTGGAAGGTTCTAGGTCTTAGGGTTTTTGGGGTTTTTAGGGTTTTAGGCGTTCGGTGCTGTGGGTCTGGGTCTGATATTGGAGGTCGGGCCCTTGTTTAGTAATGTAAATAGTCCCATGCTTAGGCCTTGTATGGTAATGAAAATAGCCCAATACTTTTAGGCCTTGTTCGTACTTTTGAGTTTGGTTTCAGTGTTTGATCAAAAGATAATGTTAAAAAGACCAAATTTTTAAACAAAGCTCAAGTTCATGAGTTCGAGTTACTTTGGAATTTAGGGTTTAGTCCGAGTCATACGTAAGCCCACAAACAAAAGTTAAGACCCATGTTCATTTTAATTGGATAAGTAGGGTCCAATCCGACTCACCAAACAAGCCCCTGTATGTTACGGAAACGGAACCCATAAAATTTGATACATATCTCTTATATTTTGGTTGTATCCAACCAAAGTATCGGATTTGTATATATTTATTACAATCATTATCTCAGCAGTGATTGTATTAATACATAATATTCACATAAATTAAATTAATCGTTAAATGATTATTATATTAAATACATGTAAGTATTGTGGCCAATTCTCATTGTCTCGTTCTTAAACTGAACGTTTAAGTTATAGGTATGTGATCGGTTTGCCCTCCCCATCCTTATCCTCACATAATCTCATTCCCATTCTCCGTTCCATTCACCATCGGAAATTCCCCATTAAAAACCCGTTTGGGAATCGAAGAACAGATCACTATAAGCAGTAAGTGGAAGAGTCGATCATGGTGCCTTTATTAGAAAACAATGTGAGGAACTTTTGAGTCTATTCCTTCGAAAAGATACCTCATTTAGGCTTGACAGGCAACTAAAGTTGATCAACATTATCATGCACAGCAGCACAAGTCATTACAACCTCACGACCTGACCGACACAAGAATTCCAGGCCACACCTAATGCTCATGGTCACTTCGATCAATCTGCAGCTAAAAGTACTTCATGCATGTAAACTTTTCCACCACTTATTTGTTTTGTACGAAAACAAAAAAATATATAGAGGACCATAAACTTTATGACTATATAATGGTTGACATACACATACATTAGGTCCCCATAAGCATTCTGCAATCCCATTGGTCATTGGCCATGCCACCTCCATGCATACGTGATAGGGTTCGGCGGTTCCCACTGAAAGGGAAGGAGCACATATATTTGCTTTTTAGGACCATCCCATCTTTCCAGAAAATTTGATCCATGCTTTGTTATCTTGCAAAGACATGCAACTTTTTTTTTTCAGTGTGTGGAGTGTGGTGCTTATGATTTTCATGCAGATCCTTAGCTTTATTTATTGTTCTCCTCCCCGATCAGAATGTATGGGATGAGTTGCGTGTACAGTTTGTATTTATATTGTTCAAAGGGGATATGGATGAACATGAACCATTCAACATTGCTTTAATTAAATAGAAAGCCGAACCCACCACTGCCACAGAGAGCTGGACATGATATGCTACCTAAATTTTACGGTTTTAGACAATCAAAGCACTCTAGCAAAGATAAGACCCAATTTGACACGACTTCATCACAAGCAATGTCATTCGTAACCTTTCAAAAGCAAATTTAAGTGGAACTTGTTAGATATCCGTATTTTCCATCTTATATATTTAAGTTGCTCTAATGGTCCATTATAAAATGACAATAACTACAACAACAAAGTCTTATCTTACTAAGTGTGGTCCATTGTATGAATCATAGAACGTCATTGTGCTCAATTTTCCGTTAAGTCTTCCGTTAGTTTCAAGTTCCATATCTTTTCTTAGAATATGTTTCCAAGTCTTCCTAGGTCTTCCCTACCCGTTTTGCCCTGAGGCTCTGTCTCATAATCATATATTCTAACCGAAGCATTTATAGGTCTTTGGTTTACATGTCCAAATCACCTTACCTGATTTTCTCTTATCTTATCTTCAATTGCGATCACTCATACTTTACCTCGGATATCCTCGTTCTTAATCATGTCATTTCTCGTGTGCCCACACATCTAACAAAGCATTTTCATCTTCACTGCCTCATTTTTTGCACATGTTCATAATGAGGGGGGACCGGGTCATGCGACGGATGCAAGCTAGACTTTTAAGTAAAAAATCCAAGATTTCATAGAAGAAGGAAAAATCGACGTGGTGGATGATGAACAGGAAGCTCCTAAGAACCCCAACGATAAAATGGGAGTTTTTGAGAACCCGCTCCCTAGTCACGCTCTGGTCTCAACATGCTGGGCCGAGGAAGTGTCCGATTTCCAACAGCCCCCTACCATCACTACAATTAAAGCTCTCAAAATTATGTCTGGCCCTTTGACATCTTATAAAATTTTCTCTTGAGCTTTAGTGGCATACGTCGGTTACAACACCTGATGCACTCTTTTACTTTATTCATCCAACTTGTATTCTATAGCTGAGATCTCCAATTCCTTTCTTTTGCAAGATATATCCACTATAGCGAAAGTGCTCACACTGCTCACACTTTGATACTTCCTGATCTCCAATTAATCCTCACCCCTACCATTTTGACCCCCATCCTTGCTGAACTTGCACTCCATATACTATGTATTGGACATACTTAAGCAAAGGCCTTTAAATTTTTCATCAACACTTCCCCACCAAAGGTTAAGCTTCACATTTACTCTATGATCATGTGTTTCATCTATCAACACTATACCATCTGTAAAAAGTATACATCAAGGAATATAATCTTGAATATATCATGTTATAACAGGATAAGAACAAACTTTATAGGTATCGACGAGTTTAGGTTTTATGCGCTTGTTATCCGCGTTTAGGGTTTTGGATTCTCCAGCTGGAATTGGATTATACTGTTGTGTCCTTATGACAAATACGTAATCAAACTAATCATCATCCAGTGTAATGACTTGTGAGGTCATTCACTTTCAACTGTACGTGTTCCAAAAACTTTGGTGACTCGTGGTTTCTGAAGCTTCCTATGGCTAATAATGCTAGGGTTGGCTAAGAATCTTAATCGAGGGCTGGCTTAGCACACAAGATCACCGAAGGGAATTGAATAATATGGTATAGGAGAACCATATGGTGTGTTTGATGAACTAAAGCATGATCATGATTTCCTGATTGAAAATTTTTATAGGTGGAATTTACTCGGTTTCCATGTTGATCCATCTCCTTCAACGGTTTGACTGATGATGTGAGAATCCTGCAATACATCAATTTATGATATCAACGACTTAATTTAACAATTTAATGTACGTTGAAGAATTTAAAAGAAAGTTAACGAATGAATATGAGATACTTAAAAGATAATATATTTAATGCAAGACTCCAAACTTAGATACAAGACGACAAACATATCGTAATGATTAACTAGTTTAGCATGCATCTAAATTTTTCCTCGTTTAAGAAATGAAAAATTAGAATTTTGTCCCAACGCCAATATATAGGTATGTCACCTTCACACCTTTGTGTGCTGCCTTATTACAAGAGAGATTTTTCAGCGTGTTGAGAACACGATCGATACATTAAGTGACATAATACAAATGGATTAATACTTAAAAAAAAAATTTCTAACCATTTGTATATTATGATAGTTGGCATATCGAGCCATGCTTCCGACTCACTAAAATATTTCTCTTATAAGAAGATCCTGCACTTCTTTTGAGGTGTATGGGTCCTCTCTCATGTAGCGGAATCTACCTTTCAAAGTGATTAGTCAAATATGGAAAGTAACCTGATTATCTAGTGGACGTGCCGGAGTGGTTATCGGGCATGACTAGAAATCATGTGGGCTCTGCCCGCGCAGGTTCGAATCCTGCCGTCCACGTTTTTATTTTCTTTATTGTCGTTTTTCATTTTTTTTTGTGGGTGTCTTTAGTAAGAATTAGGAATTCCTTCATTCCCTCTCAAATTATTTTTCTCTACAACAGTTGTAAAATTATTGTTTTAATTAAATGTTCTCCAAAACGTGATGTTAAGGATTTATTCCATACCCATTTAATTTTTTTTTTTTTTCAAATGGAGGGTATTTGGATGTTGCTGCTGATTTTTTAACTATATATCTATTTTGTATTGTTGATTTTCTTATGTTGTTTTACCTTTTACACACCCATTTTTTGCTTTCACATACCTCTCTTCATTTTCGGCCGTTAGATCAGTGAATTAAAAATGATCAAATAACATAAATTAGCAGGAGGTGTGTGATAAGTAAAAATGGGTGTGAATAATACCATCCACACCCCTTTTTCATATAAAACGATATCTTACTAACATATTATAGATTGTCGTTATTCATATTAGTCGAATCTGACTTTATCATCAATGGGTAGCTTACAAATAACGTAAAACGAACAATCCAACTTTGGGGTTAGTACTCGGTACTGATTAAGAACAATAGAGGGGAGACCCATGGAAAAGCTAGGTTTGCTTGTTCAGAATTCATCTCCACTTTATGTCGTACATTCACTTACCATTTTTTTGCCAAGTCTTCTTTAGCTATAATGTTCAAAGTTTTTGGCTATGATGAAAAAGTAGTAGGTTTCAATGTTTGAGGAAAAATTCAACATTATTCTCTGAGTTTAGTGCCACTTGAATCTCCCATAAATAATCGAAAGGTCCTACTTTTCTCTTTTAACTAAACCTTAATTTGCAAAGGTGTCTTTGGTATTCGGAATATTTCAGTGGTCGGGCTGCCTTTGTTCATTGGCATTTTCGTAGCCCCATAACTTGTAAAAAACGGAAGTTAATTAATTAAAAATTATGCGGTAAATGCTGAGCTAATTTTTCAAGCCATACATATAACTACGGGTTCTGAGCCGAAGCTTGCTTCAACCCTAAATTTTGGAATTTTCTATATTTGGTTCAGAAATTTATTTGATTGGTTATTTTGATATTTCTAAAACCTTACCCTTATTTTTTTGTTTCTTCATATGTTCTAATTGTTTTAGATTTCTGGGTTTTGTTATATTCCTTATTTTTAATGGTATAGTACTTCCTGGTTTTCTTTGGAAGCAACAAGGTTTTGACGATTCTTTATTTCTCTAGGGTTTGAATAACTGCACGTACGTTTCCCTGCATCTAGTTTCAGAGTAGGAATACTAATTAATCTGCCTCTGTATCGACAAGATATAGAGGGTGATTCCTGAGTTGGAATTAGTTCCTTGTATTTTAATGGAGAATTCAACAACTGCTAAAGCAGATTGTAGATTACTAGAATCGGAAGGCGAATTGCATCCAACCCGAGGAGGATGAATTTTGGTATGTGTTTCTAGAACCCTACTTTTTTCTTCTGATAATTGTCCCGTGTTTTAATTAATTAATATTTTTTTTAATTTAGATTTTAGATTGGTGTTGTTGTTGGGAATTCTTTTATACTTTTCGGGAGGGAGAGTCTTCTGAGATTCGTAAATATTGAAAGAAATGAAGAAAGTATTTTCTTTTAGGGTTGTTTGGAAAATCTTAATAAACCAGATTAAGTCTGGATAATAGCTAGGGAATTATTAGTTAGTGCTCCTGTCAATGTTTCTTCTTGGTTAAATGAACTAACTTTCGGGTAAGGTCCTCAATTTTGAATAAAACATTTCTTGCAGGTGTGCTAAAAAGAAAAAGAAAAATACTACACCAACTATACACAAACATTATAACAGACTTGAAAAGTTTTCACGCTATAATTTGAATGAATTCGTAATACTACTTCATATCGTGCCAATGTGACAAACAATAATTTTCCGTAATAGATGCAAAGAACAAGGCACGGTCTCAAAACAATCAGGTAGATTCAACCACATATAATATTATATAATTATATTTTGGCTCATCCTCCATAAATATTCCTTCTGGCAAATCCATGCAAATTTTTATAAAATGGCAAATAAAGGGCAAATAAAATTATGTGCCTTATATTCCAATCTCCATAGGTCTGAAATCCTCTCTGCCATAGATGATATTTGATTAATATATATGCAATGAACCCTATGAAAAAAAAAAAATTGAGTAGGAATTAGTTATAGAAGTGCTTATGGTAAATTATTACAGGGAATATGACCCGTTCATCAAAACCATAATCTCAAAGTCATGACAAATTAGATTCCAACGCCTTTATTATGAGCTACTTTGATTCTATTCATACAAAATTTTGAAGCACACCAAGAATATCAAGCTAGCTATCACTCGATCTCGTGAATCTTTTGTTAAGTAAACATTATTGAACCCTAAATCCTAAGTCTTCAACTTAACTAGTATCTTTGGGTGATGAATTAGGTTATGGTAAAACTTTGATATCTTAATTTTACATACTTCTTAAGTTGTAATTATCACTTTTTATTTCTTGGTC